CGAAGGTGGAGACGGGTGCCTTCAGCTTACCAGGTCCGGCTGCAGCCTTGTTCCAGTAGGACATCACTGCTGGGAAACGAGGCCAGATGGGGTCAGGGCGGTGAGCCAGGGTGGAGCCAAACCTTCCCGCTAGATCATCCAATCTGGGCGGGGAGGAGGAGAGGGACGGAAAGTCCCTTTGTGTCAGCCGCCTCCTGGATTATGCCGGGCAGCTCCGAGAGGAGGGCACCGACAGCTGGGAGCGGTCTGTACGTCAATGCGAAAAGGCCCGGGGGGTGTGGGCCCCCCCCTCCCCCCCCCCCCCCCCCCCAGCGTCAAAAAAGGCGATCGCGTCGTCCAGCGAACAATCCCCTGCCACAGGAAAAACACTCCTTGATGTTAGCCTTGAACAAGGCTGCTCGTCTCTGCTTCTCCTCAGGGGGGAGGAGGTCACAGGAACAGCAGGAGGAGTTGAGGTCGGCGTGGCGGGTACACAGGCATCCTTTGCAGATGTCGTGCCAGTCAAAGCTCAAAATGTAGCCTGTCTGGCAGGACGGGCACAGGCGGATGGTGCTGGACATCTTCTGTCTTCTCGAAAAACAGTGCTGGTTGGCAGAAGAAAAAATGGGAGCTGATTACCCGGTCTCACCGTAATTTATTCGGACTGGTGGTGAGGCCCACACAGCAGGTGGGCGTGGACTAAAGTTTTTTCAGTGCTGCGCTGCGCGCGAAGGGATAAACCCACTAGCGATAGCCTTAAAGGGCGAAGCCTGTACGAAATAGAACAGATGTATTACTGGGGCAACATCAGTGATGAGTCACAACTTTGTAGTTAGTTTGAAAAATAGTTAACCACAAATAGGATTGTTATAGTGAGTCAGTTCATCATGTTTTGTAATCGACATGAAACAGAGGTCCATCACGTTTAATGCTTTTGCTCCACAACAACACTCTTTAGTTCCGCATCTCTTTTAGTTCCGCACTGCCCGCTAATTTTCTGAAAGCTCTTGTCTGTGTGGGAAGTGGCTGTCTTCATATGCGATTTATGAATGATCAGAGGGAGCTTAAAGACAGACTGGTCTGTGTAGCCATGTCAGAACAGTTCAGTGTCATCCAAATTTTCGGTGGACATAGTGACCAATCTTGCTTGATCGGTCTTGTTTCTAATGTGTTTCTCTCTTTATCAGAGTTAATCTGCTGTAATTATTAATGCAGATTTGTGTTGCCTTTGTCCACTCTAAAGCTAAATCTTAGTTTTGCAGATTTTAAAACACATTGTGAACAAACACTGCTTTATTGTGACTGCTTTGGATTTGAAGAAGATGGGTCAGGTTTGTGGTTAATCTCACCTAACTATTATAACTTATCAATTATCTTTTAAACAGCTTTTCATCTTTTTACTCGTCATGCTGTCATTACAAGAGTTATTGAATTTACCACTTATTTACTTGTCAGGATTTTGAAATTGGTGTTTGTTTAATGCCACTTAAAAAATACATAAAAATCAAATTTTTAAAAAGTATTTTTTACATAGATTCTTATTAAAATCTTGATTTCAAGTGACTGGACTTACTGGCTTATTGAATGAGAGGTAAAACCTTTTAAAGAAACAACATGAACTTGTCCAGTTGCCTTTTTTTTTTTTTAACCACAAAATGTTTGCTTTTTCCAAGGTTGGATTATTTTGCCATTACAAAAGCAACAAAAGTCAGAAAACGGAAGGTCCAGCTTTTTTTTGGTCTTGAACTTTTGGACATTATTATGTACAATAAGTCAGCATGTGGTTTTATTGTTTAATTTAGATGCTAAATTCATTAATGTAGAATCAATTAAATAAATTTTTAATTTGAATCAAAAATAAATTAAATTCTATTTCTAAAAAAAATAAACTTTTCTGTTTCACTGGTTTAGCATTAGGCTGCATTTGTTTTATTTATAGTTAATTTAAATGAAATAGTTAATTTTAAGGAATGCTTGTTTTGTTTGACAGAAAACAGTGTTTTTAAGCTCCCAGCTGCCAGAAGTCTTTGCTGTAACAAAATACAGTATGTCATTTTAGGCCAAAGTTAAAGAATGCTACTTTTTTGTAGCGGGATCAGACTTCTAAGAAAACGAGCAACCAAAATAGCTATGGCTCTGAGAAAAATGTACCTTTTTTGGGCCTCTATATGTGCTTCCGAGCAGTGTCACAAAAGTTATTTGATTTCTCATCCGTTTATACACACCGGTTAATTAAAACTTTTGGTGTGTGAGGTGGAAAAATGGAATTGTATAATCGTGTTTTTTGGACTATAGGGCGCACCGGATTGTAAGGCGCATTAAGCAAAACAAAATGGTCAGATAAGTAAAACTTTATTCAACTCATTCACAATATCCACATAAAATCAGTTCGAGGTCAGTAAGCACAACCAGAATTAATACATAAGTCACACTGGATTATAAGACTCACTGTCGATTTTTGAGAAAATTAAAGGATTTTAGGTGTGCCTTATTGTCAGAAAAATATGGTATATAATAACAATTCCTTTTTTTTTGACTTTCCAAATATTCTGCTGCAGAACCCATTTCATCATTCAGTTCACTTTGCAGTCCTTGTCAACTTAGACCTAAAGGAGTAATTTAGCGGTCATGGCATTTTGTATTTATACAACACCCCAAATTGCATGTTTACATGTTAGTCAACTGATTTTCCACTGCCTTAATCACGCTTTCTGTGTTTGCTTCCATGGAAGAAAGTATTTCCATTTCTCTTTTCCAGCTCATGTCTTTCCAGACTAACTAAAGTCCCTTCTTTACTCTCCATAACCTCTAACTGACTGGATTGATTACATACAATGTACATGTGTGTGCGTGTGTCTATGTGTCTGTGTGTGCTTGTGTGTGATGAAATAGGAGCATTTAGACTTTATTAACTGTCACAGTTTAGATCCTGCACACCTATTGATTTATGGGTCTACCATCACAACAGCAGTCTGAAGTAAAAGTTTCTCTCAGTGATTATCCTGGTTAGAGACACATGAGTGTAACAGCCTCAGGGTAGAAGCTGTTCCTCAGTCTAGTGGTTCTTCACTTAATGCTCCTTAACCTCCTTCCTGTGGGGAGCAGGGCAAAAAGTGAGTGTGCTGGGTGAGGCAGGTCCTTCATGATGCAGGTGGCCCTCTTCCTGCATCTAGAGGTGTAAATGTCTGTGATGGTGGGGGGACTGAAAATATTAAAATATTAAAAATATTTAACAAGAATTTAATAAGATTAACACTTAAAAACAATTATTTGTTTGCTCGACTTTATAGCAAAGGTGTGTCTCAGTTGACCTTTTGCTTAATAAATGCACTTCAATGGTCAAATTAGCTGCATTTCGCCGGGGCGGCGCAGCGAAATGAAGCTGATTGACGGTTGCTCCAAGCGAGCTGGACGAAGGTGGCATACTGTGGCAAGCCGATTGTGTCATTAAAAGCCACTTTTACCTATTACATGATACAACGGCATGCCATACTACTCGTGTGCCGTCTAGCAGCTGAAAATGGTAGTGTTCAATATTTTCAGTCAGAATGAATTAAAACGGTCAAGTCTCAGCCAAAAATTGGTTCATAAATATAGGAAAAAATTCATAAATGCGTCGCTTCGGCGTATCAGTCGCAAGGCATGCAAATTATGCAAAAAAACTGTGACTTTTAGGGTTAAAAATACGGTAAATATGAAATGATGCACAAAGATTTTGATACAATAAAGAACCTAAAATTATTGTTTTAAAAAATGTTCTATTTGTTTACATTGTTGTTTAATCTTTTCATCTAGTCATTTACATAATTTAAACAAAGATTATGACTATTTCAGTAGACAAAAATCGTTTCTGAATCAGAAATCGTTTCTGAATTGAAAATCGATTTTGATTCGAATAGTGACACCAAAAATCGGAATTGAATCGAATCGAATCGCCAGACACTGAAAACTTCGCACTCCTAATATTAGCCACTCAAGACATTAGTTGGGAAGAATGCATTTTGTTTAAAATGTTTGCAGCACTTAGTTTTAAGCTAAGTAGACACCATGCCTTAATCCAAAGCCTTGTATGAGTTGGACTGAAAGATTAGACTTGTCCAGTGTCTCCCTCTTTTTCATGCAAACAAAAAGGCACTTGGAACAAGTGAAACCATGTAAGCAGCCCATCTGTTCTTGGAGAACAGCAGCTGTTAGGTGACAGGATGCTCAAGATGAACTTGACCTCTTACATTCTGCACAGGAGGTGTCATCCTTCGGATCCATCCACTGTACCGGTTTTAAAAGCAATCTGTCTGTCAAACACACAAAGCTGCACACACATGTCATTAAAGTCATTAACTGGTCATGGATTAAATTAAGACTGGACCCATATTTTACAAAGTGCAAAAAATTGAGCTCATATTTTGTTTGTGTGCGATTAAATTTAGATTTTTGCTTGTTCAAATGTTGAATATTAATTAATTTGTTAAATTTTGGTATTTTATTGTACTACGTTGCTGTGTTTGATTATTTTGATTGTGATGATCAAAAGGCAGAATTAGAGCAAAATATTTTCCTGAGGGCAGAAGAGACTGAAAAAAAATCCGGTTCAGCAAATCTGTGTTTCTAGAACACCTTCAAAAATGTTTATTAAATCAGTCACTTATGCAAGCGTTTCTAAAAGTCTCTCCAACAAAATCTCAACTTTTAGTGGCTGCAAATCTTCATCTTTGGAAGCCTAAACAACTTATTTATTTATTAGGCATAAAGTCTCTCGTCTCTTTTGAAAAACGATTAACGAAAAGCTGTTTTCAAAGTGTGCTGCAGCCACATTTGCCCGTCAGATGCTAATGATGTTTACTTGAACTGATGCTTTTCCGTGTTGACTCGTTCGGAAAATTTTCAAGAGTTGCTTCTTTTTTTAATGTTGGTTTTCTGGTCACTGTAGCTCACATGTTAGATAAGATGAGCATTATCTATTGACGTCTGTTCCTCTGTTCCCACACTCTTAATTCTGTTCTCTGTCTCCATTTTGCCCGTAGATCACCAGAAACTGGAGCGGGAGGCGAAGATTTGTCGTATGCTTAAACATCCAAACATAGGTGAGTTGTCTTTGTGAGCCTAAATAAAAATTGGTAACGTCTGCGATAATTAAAATGTGTAATATAATATTGTCAGCACGATAGGTCAGTGGTTAGCACTGTTGCCTCACAGCAATTATGTCCTGGGTTCAATCCCTAATTGGACTTGGGGTCTTTCTATGTGGAGTTTGTATGTTCTTCTCATGCTTGCGTGGGTTTTCTCCGGATACTCCGGTTTCCTCCCACAGAACAAAAACATGCATGTTAGGCTGCCTTCAGGCTCAGGCCTCCCTTGCAAAAGAGATCTGTAATCTCAATGGGATTTGCCTGGTTAAATAAAGGTTAATAAATAATGAGAAGATATTTAGAGTAAAACTGTTCATTGACCTCAAATTTTTTTTCTTGTGTAGGAAATTCAGATTTGCAGGCCCACAAAGTCACAGTTGCCCTCCTGTTTAGTGTTAAAATTAGCTTTTCCTTTTCGCTGCTGTTTAAAAACTGTTTTTGCTTTTTCCAACAAAGTACCGGTAAGTCAGGTCCTCTGGACGGTTTCTTTTGTTTGTTTGTTTGTTTGTTGAAACGTTTTGTCCTTCATCCAAAGGACTTCATCAGTCCGAGGAGCCACAACAAACTCAGTCCAACAAGCAGCACACTTGCATAGTGGGGTGACCAGTTTTATGGTGATGAGATCGTTTCTGGAGTCTGCCCCGTCGACTCCCCTGAGGCAGCCTTAAAGACTTAGCTTTGTTGGATTTTGTACCTAGATTATTGAGCAAGAACTTTGATGTTTTTGTTTTTTTATGCATTTAGGGAAATAATGGAAGCAGTAAATGGACAAATCCAAATGAACATTAAATTTTCTCTGGAAAGTTCGATCCTACAAACATCAGCCTCTGAGCTCATTTTGTCTTTATACTCATGCCACTTTTCACTGGAAAGGGTCAGTCTGAAATAAGATGTTTCTCTTGCAAAGCTTGAATTGTGTTCATATGATTTTCTACATCACTGTTTAGGGAAAATATGGTATCCAGTATCCAATATGGTATTTTAGGGTATCCAGCCATTAAAGTCAATATGAGCTGTGTTTAAAATGAGTTTTTGAGGGAAGAACAAACAATAAAAGGGCGTTTGGAACTAAATTTTAATCAGGTCCAGATCAACACTATTGTTCTGCTAAGTTTTCTGTTTTTCAAGAGTAATTTTAAAGACTTGTTAAAAAAAACGTTGCTAGAGCCTGACCGATATAGCCATTTTGACTAACGCCGATACCAATATTGGGAGAGGAAAGCTTAATGCCAATAACACACAGTATTGCTCGTTGCTTCGATTGTGCTGAACGTTAAACTTAAAGTGAACGGCCATGACTTGAAAGTAGTCTTCATGCGCCCTCTGCTGGATACATTGTACAATTATGGCTGGTTCCAGCATATTAGAGTTGAAAATTATAAGTGTTTATATTGGCACATAGTGGGACAATTATCACCGATACCTAGGCCTGTCACAATAACAAATTTTGCTGGACGATTAATTGTCTCAGAAATTATTGCGATAAACGATAATATTGTTTAAAATTTGACAATAATTAGTAATTATTGTCAAATTTAAGAAGAAATGTTGGTTAATTTGTTTTGCATGTAGTATCTTTTTTGACCACCGGGTGGCAGTAAAAGACTGTTTGAACTGAAGGCTGGATAGTGAGTGAGTGAGCAGCATGTCTCTTTAAGAAAAATGGGAGGGAGGCCCCTTGTGTCATGGGCTGTCTCTCCTTCCTTTTTTTGCTTCTCAAAATGGCGGACACTCTGTGTGGTTTGAGCTCTTTAACATAGCATTTTTCACACAAAGATTTTAATTTAATTAAAAAAATCAGTAAACAAGTTCTCAGCTTCTTTTTGCAGAGAAAAACAACTTTTTACATGAAGGCACGGGTTTCAACCGTGAATTTTGGAGCTTCGACAAGACAGAGTTTTTTCCCCGAGGTCGGCCTGTTAGCTTAGCTCGTAGCTTAGCTGCTTTTACCAATACAAAAATGTGATTTTGGATGGTTAAAACAGATTTTACAGAGAAAAGAGAAAAGGAGGGGACAGTGAAGAGCACCGGAGTTGAGCCTTTTGTCATCCCGCGTCTTCAGTAGAAAGAGAGAGACACGAAGAAACAATAAAGCCGATAAATGAAAATAAGGTTGATAATTTTCATTTATCATGCGATTAATTGATTTGTTTATTGCGACAGGCCTACCCAGGCCCAATAGATCCCCAAATGCCTATATCAGCCTAAAATTTCAGCCCTACTGATATCAGTTGAGCTCTAAATTTTACTATCACCTTGCTAAAGTGATGCATTGTCTTCTAATAATGTCAGTGTGGACTGACATTGGCTGAACCCAATGTCTGTTGCAGACATTTAATTATTTATTTCAAGCACCTAGCTTTATTGCTTTCATGAGTTGACTGACTTGACTGTAAAACCCTGTTTGCTTAGCAATTGACACACAAAAGAGCCATTTTGTTTATCCAATATGGATGTGAAAACGTTGGTTACGTACTGTAACCCCAGATTCTATGAGTATAGGCGCAGCCTTTTAAGGCTGTCGCTAGTGGGTTTATCCCTTCTCGCACAGCACTGAAAACTTTAGTCCACGCCCACCTGATGAGTGGGCCTCACCCCCAGTCCGTATAAATTATGGTGAGATGGGATAATCGGCTCCCAAGTAGCTTTTTTCTTCAGCCATTTAGGATCCAGTGAGGCCCAGAGCTTAAAGGGCTGCGCCTATACTCATGGAATCTGGGGTTATAGTACTTAACCAATGTTCTATTTCGTATAGGCTTTGCCCTTTAAGGCTATTGCTAGTGGGTTAAAGGCGAAGCAGGATGTAGTCTATGCCTCACTGGGTCCACTCAGACACAACATGGAGCACCTGCTTGCACAAAAAAAACATTTCATCACTCAGCCTTCAGTGTGTGTAATTACGTGCTGCGTAATTGCGTGCTCCATGCACAGGAGCACACCGGAGAAAAGATCTCAAGTGAGGAAAAAAGGCTGAGATAGCAGACCTGCTGCTGTGAATAGGAACAACGGAGGATACGAATTGTAACAGTGTAACGATGAACAGAGCAGACCAACAGCTCCTCAGGATGAACCGATTAATAACGATAAAATCAGCAGTCATGAACTTGTGACTGATAATAAATATTTCACATTGCGACTGCATGCAGGCAGGTGTGAGCTCAAAAGTGAGGCTCCATGAAATAAATAATACTTATTCTGTCAGAACCCTGAGAACAGAATGGGTCATGGAGAAAGTAGAAACATCACGTAGATAAAAACAAATATTTGAACATGGTGATGACTAGGCAGCCGCCATACAAATATCCTCCACTGTCATCCCTCCATGCAGAGCCATGGAGGATGAAAACCCTCTTGTGGAATGTGCTGAGATTATCTGGAGGATCCAGTCCAGATGAACTGTAAGCTTCAGAAATAGCCTCACACAACCAGTGTGAGAGGCGCTGGGTGGATAGAGGATGTCCTGAAGAGCTGTTCCAGTAATGCACGAACATACGCTGAAAGCGGCGCAGTGTGGCTGTGTGCGCCACGTAACATGAAAATGCGTGCATGGGACAGAAGGAGGTGAGATGTCTCCTCCTCAGAATTATGAGGAAGAGGATAAAACCCATCCAAGGTTATCACTCTCGATCTGAATGAGCTTGTGATGCTTTCCAGAGCAGGGTTAAAACGCAGTACAGCTGAACTGCCGTCAGCTGGAATTCTGAGACATGAGGGAGCAACAAAGAGAGCAGACAATCACTCACTAAAGCGTGCAGGATCATCATTAGGTCTCACTGTGGAGATAGTGGACGTGACACCGGTCTGTGTCTCCGTACACATTTCAGGAAACGCTTAATCAACGGATGATTAAAAACTGTTCTGTCACCGAAACCCTCGTGACAGGAAGAAATGGCTGCAGCATAAGTTTTAATTGTGCTGAACGCTAGATTTCTGTCCATCAGATGCTGCAGAAAGGACAGCATGTCACCTAGTGGACAAGAGATGGCCTCTACACCTTTCTCCGTGCACCAGCTCTGAAAAGCTGTCCACTTTGATATGTAGTAGTCACGTAGGTACGTGCCACTAGTTGTAGTATGACAATATATGAGATATATATGCATACAATATTCACGAGTTCCTCATCTTTCTGACTGTGTAATGTCGTGCATTGAATTTAACAGAAATGTAACGAGAGACGTTATTTATCTTTGACCCATCAAAATGAATGCGGTCATTTATTTTCAGAATCAAAGTTTAACATCAAACATTTACATTAATTTGGCAAAATATGAAAATAATAACAGACAAGTTTCACAGAAAATGAGCATCGATCACTCGGCGGTGATCAAGGACTTTGCTTCAGATATTCCTAAGATATCTGTACTGATTTTATGAGAAAGAGGAGAGTTTTAAGATGAAATGGAGATTTATCTTACAGAGAAATATGTGAGGGAATTAATCTGTTTGACCAGAAATTGCACGCTCCATCAGATATCAGCTTGCCCACGGTACACTTGGTCGAAAATAGAACCATCTACCTTGATGATGAAATCAGCGTCGGCGTAGGTTCCTTTCTGACTCTTTTCAGCGTCTCCGTGAGAACTACCAAACCCTCAGAGAGTCGTACGTGGTTTTCAAACAGAAATTATAATCCCAAAACGTCTCTGGATCATCCTGAATGCGTTTGCACCCAAGAACTCTGAACTCCTTTCATTCTTCAGAACTTCTCAGACTCTTAATTGTCAGCAACTCCAGCAACTCTCTAGTTCTTCATCTCCTCAGCCTCTGGAATTCTCTGGAAATCTCCCGAATTCTCTGGAGTTCTAACATGAACTGGGAAGTTGCCACATTTTAAATGGGTCGACTTCCGGTTCAATTTAGAGCTTTCTGATTCGTGGATGTACCAGAAAGAGGTGCGGTTTTTGACGTAAGGTGTTATCAAAAGTCGAGGTCAGAGAATGAGTTTGTTTAACAAC